TTACCGGTACTGAAAAACAAACTGAAGATTATTTTTCTAGTTAACCATGATTGGTTGATAAAAATCATGGTTAAAAAGCAAATAAATAGAATAAATTCGAAACCATGATAGTCTTTATAGAACTCAAGCAGTGGTCAGCTGAAGAAAAAAATAAACTCTAGTCAAACATAAAAATATTCTTTCTGATGTTAAAAAAAAACATACAGTGGGTTCATATGGACTATTTGATTCTGCAAATCGTAATATTCACTCATATCAAACAAGTCGTTAGTGGGTTAAAGCCTAAAGGGTGTTTGAATGTAGGATTTTAGATGATTATGGGATAAGGAGTCATCAAATGATGCAGATGATCCTTTCCAGTAAAACAGATCGAATAATCATAAATTGAGTTGATGTGAGTAGTTGCAAATTCATCAACAGGTTTTCCAACGATTAATAATGAGTGTTTGAACAATAGTGTTTTTATGTGCATAGGACGCACATCATGCGAGTATAGTGGAGGTTCATGTTTATAACATGTGCTATTCACTAAATGTTATTATTGCTTTTGTATACAATTTACCGTTCATTCAATAATTTTTTTATTATACTCCTCTAATTCTATTTTAACTTCAAATAATTATAACTTTTCCGGCTAATTTATCTTATTAGGTTTGTAAGCGTTTGTATAATATTTGTATTATTATTATTATTTATTTGTATAAAATATATAATAATTTTATCATTTATATCTTTTCAATAAAAAGGAGTGGATATAGTATCTTTTTAGTTTTGCTTGTTTGTGGCATTTGATATATTAAATGTAACAAATTAGATTATGGGTTTCATCAAATACATAGATTTGCATGAATTGGTTAATTTAGGAAAAGGTTTTTTTAGAAAAAGGGTCAACCAATGGAATTGTTTATAATAATAGATTTTTGCTAAATAAAACTAATTGAAATCTATGTGACAAAATAATTATTTTTTAGAAAAAGGTTAACTTGAACAGATAAAGTAACAAAAAAGAGATTATTGTAGAAGATGAGAGGCGTCCTAGTGAAATGAAAATGACTTTTATAATAAGTTGGTGGTGTCTGTATATGTAATCTTAACACCTCTAGTATCTGGTTTGGGCTAAATTGAGAAACATAGCTCACCAATAACTCAATAATCAAGCACACTGTGAGTTTCAAATATGTTGAGTTTTTCATTGTTATCAGCAAATCGCGTATGAATATGCAAAGAAGAGAGCAAATCTGGTATTAGTTGCACGGAGAGATCACCGACTGCATGGAATCAGCGAGAATGCTAAACGACTGGGTGCACCGCACGTCTTAATAGTGGCTGCAGATGTTGTCAAAGAAGACGAGTGTAGGAGATTCGTCAACGAGACCATCAGTGTTTTTGGACGAAGTAATCTATTCCTCCATTATTTGTGCATAAACATCATTTATCCATACAACACTTTATATAAACAATCCTAAATAGAAAGAGAAAAGAAATATTTCATTTTGTTTTTTATTGTTTGCAGTTGATCATCTGGTAAACACGGCAAGCTTAGGGCATACTTTCTATTTCGAGGAAGCAAATGATGCTTCGGTGTTCCCTATATTGTTGGTATAACTCAAACTCGGCTTAGGGACATTCCGATCAATGAACATTATCTAACTTCTTAATTGATGGACGTCATACACTTATTGCTAAATTTCAGGATATCAATTTTTGGGGGAATGTTTATCCTACATATGTGGCTCTTCCATACCTCCGCCAGAATCACGGGCGGATTGTCGTTAATGCTGCGGTTGAGAATTGGTTACCTCTACCAAGGATGAGTATATATTCTGTGAGTGCATTCCGGTTGACAAACCGATTATGTTCCTTTTTTTTTTTCAATTTTTATGAACGGGGACCACATTTTAACTCTAGTTATCTTACCTTTTGCTTGACTAGGCGGCTAAAGCTGCTCTAGTGAACTTCTATGAGACTTTGAGGTTGGAATTGAACGGTGATGTCGGAATCACAATTGCTACCCACGGCTGGATTGGTGCCGAAATGGCCCGGGGGAAATTCATGTTGGAAGAAGGCGCTGAGATGCAATGGAAGGAAGAACGAGAAGTAAGTTACCTAAAATGCTAGCTTATAGTATATTAGCGATACCCTTATGACTATTAGCAACTTCCTTAGGATTGTGGTTAATGTCCCCAGATAAAAACTGCAACTTTTTGTCCCGCCCAAAAATTGGAAAGTAATTGCACAAGGACTTGCCGATGATCTCTTGTCTGTGCAAAAGATGTTACCATTGAAAGTTTGTTCGGTCTATAATCCAGTTTTGTCTGAAAGGGTCTATTTGGATGAAATCGGTATACAATTTGTGTTTGTTTGTTATGATCGCAAGGTGCAAGCTGCGGGTAGTCCTGTGGAAGAGTTTGCAAGGTTAATTGTATCGGCTGCAGTGCGGGGGAGTGCTAATGTTAAATACCCAAGCTGGTACGATGTATTCCTTCTGTACAGGGTGTTTGCACCAGACGTATTGACATGGACATTTCGGTTCCTTTTGTCTAACCAAGGGGTAAGGGCAACGTCTTTTATGGGTACGGGGAGACCTCTTCTAGAAGCTTCATCACCACCAAAACGACTTCTCACTGGAGGAGAACCTCGTACCACCCAACACATGTCTCCTCGACTTCAGCTAAGGCAATTGGACGAATAGGGCAGTTTGTGTTTGTAAATGATGTTTTGAATAATCATGGTCGGGTCGTTTGTAGTGATTTTGAAGTAATGTTCTCTTATCATATTTTCTACCTCAGCATAAGGATTTTAAATGCATAATAAGTCGTACCGATTTCACTCCTGCAATGTTTCTAAGTCTTAGCAGCCGCGGCGTGAGATTTTAATTCCAGCGTAGATTGAGCTATTCGTGGACATTAGTATTTTATGCAAACCAATTTGTGTGATTTATACATATGACATGAAGAACAACTATTTTTTTGTATAGCTTGCTTGTAGGTAAAAAAAATAAAAATAAAGTACATTGCTTATATTTATGTTCAAACCAACATATATAACTCAATCACAAACTTTGTGAAACTGTTGGAAACACAACAAAACGGATGTATACCTTACAAGTTTACCTGTCAGTTTGTTTTCACACTGGCTCGGTAATAATGCTTACTTGATGTTGGAATAAAGAAAATCCAAGAAGCCTGTCCCCTTAAGGATCCCTTTACCAGTCAAAAGTTCAAAATCCAAAAGCAACAGGAACCCGATAATGGCTGCTTTTCCATTTATCAATTCGTTTTTATTTGTAAAACCAAATCCTCCAGACCCTTCATCAACCACCATTCTTACCTGAACACCAAAACAGATATAGTGGAAAAGTTCTTAGAAGTACAATGCTATAATTGGTAGTTGGAAACAAAGTTAGTTACCTCATCCACGTTGACATCAGTAGCGGTTATACCAGGTTGAGCCTTTCCACTAAACACGATTTCTGCAGATGCAACCGATGGTGCTGATCTTCCCATGCTTATGTAGATATTTTCACCATCAACTTTTACTGGATAAACAAATAAATTACTTAAAGCGGGTGTCAGCACTCTTAACACAGGATTCTTTGGAAACCAGTCTTTGATGGAACCATTTCGCAAATCGAATGTGCTATCAGTTGCTGGGCACACGATGCACCCCTCCTGCACAACATTCTTAACATCACTCACAAATGGAAGAACAATTGATGTTGTTAAACTAGTACATTCATCGATTTCGAAATCGACCTAGAAATTTTGGGGGAAATTAGGGGAAAGCAAAACCTGGGTGAGCTTAGCATTGATCAAGCCTTCACTATACGCACCCTCGGCAGGTGATCTATTCTCGATAGCAAACACCTCATCTTTATACCACAACAGGAGAATCTCCTCTCCATTTTGTATTATCACTCTCCTTTCACCTTTCGGAAGCGCCGATACTGGCACCACCGGTATCCAATTCCTTGTATCTTCAGAAACGCCTGAGGACGACACATCCGCTGCCTTGCACGTTATCCCATTTCTCCGGAGGGCCAGAGTTACATGCTTTCCTGGTTGGCAATACTGATGATGCAATGGTAAAAGTGGTAGTTTCCGGCGGTGGTGTTGGGTGTAAGGGGAGGAAAGGAGGCCAGAAGCGAGCTTGGCGGCGGCCGTAGCGGCCATAATTGATTGTTACGACGGTTATGGGCAGTGGGCGTTTGACGGAGGAGAATGGAAAACTGGAAATTGAGTGGATGAATGGATCTGCATCGGCATATTATCCAAAAGAGAAGAAAGAGTGGACTGGTCTCCTTGCCATACGTACAGGTTCCATAGCCACATAAACTAGATAACCCAATATTTTATGTACTTTGGGTTAAAAAAAAAAAAAAAAAAAAAAAAGACAAAATTGCAAATGTACCCCCGTCATGTATTTTTTGGGAGTTTTGGTTCAAATCATGATTTTTTTTTTGCTTCACGATCATTTTGAACTAGTTTGTATGTGAAAATGGTTCATCCGCAAATTGAAATGACTAATGTATTTTTTGGGAGTTTTAGTTCAAATCATGATTTTTTTTGGCTTCATGATCCTTTTGAACTAGTTTGTATGTGAAAATGGTTCATCCGCAAATTGAAATGACTAAATTGCCCTCTTAATATAATTTTTCTATTTTTTTCTATTTAATTTAATGTTTTATTAATAATAAAATGGGCCCACACCCTATTATCTCTCTCTCTCTCTCTCTCACACACACACACACACGGTTCTTTCTTTCTTCTTGATTTCCGGCAAGACCACCCACCGAAAACGGTGTTTTTCGGCCACCAAGGAAGACAAACAGCTCCCATCATCCTCTTCCCTTTTTTTGCGACAATCACCACCTAAACACCCTCATCTTCTGTTGCTAATTCTTGATTCCTTTCTCCCTCTTTTCTTCTTCGACTCACCAGAAAAACAAAACAAAAGAAAGGAGGCTATTGCCTCCATTCCAGCCACCTGTGATGGTAGCTATGTCAAGGGGGAAGGGAACCCGTTTTTACGACGATCCTTTTGGCTTGACTTTGTCGTCGGCAGCCACAGATCGAGGGGAAGGTAAGCAACAAATAGTAGCACCGAAAAATGGCAGAAGGGGCTGCGTACGTCGACGAGGGGCAGTAGTCGGCGTCTCCGATGAGCAAAGGGAGCAAGGATCTTCGAGGGTGTTTTGCCGTGGAGTCGATGAGCAAATGGTGGAGGGGATATTTTCTCTTCGGCGAGCCCTCGTGGGATCCTTTCTTGTCGTCGGCAGTAAAGAAAAAGAATGAACAAAGTAGCAGTAGCAGCGTCGGACAGGGGGTGTTTGGATGTTGTTGTTCGACAGGAAAGAACGAGGGAGGATGGGAGTCGATTTTCCGGTGGTGAATCACGAAGGAAACAGAGGCTGCTCTGGCGGCTTCCCTTGGCTTCTTTCTGTTGGATATAGTGTCTAAGTCCATAACTTTATTTGGTATGTACTTGACCCGACCCGGCATGGTCCATTTGGGTTGTATGGCATTGCAATACTTGGATAGACTAAATGAGAGAATAAGGCACTTATGATTATTAATATATTATAAGTTCTAATATATTAATAATAGTATTATTTAATTAGTATTGATCAAGTATTAATCTAGGATTAATTTGGTGATCAAAGTGAGACTAATTAAATATATAGGGTTGATTATGACAATCATCAATTCTTTTATGGTGGATTAATGATCCATGGTTTATGGGTTATGGATGTAACCAAATGGAGCTCCATGGATAGTCCATGGGAGTTACAAATCCATGGGTCATGGGAAATCAAGAGTCATGACAATTAAGGGCATTCATGTGTAAACCCTAATTGTGACAACACTATAAAAGGAACCCTATGGCTAGCAAAATGGTGACCTAGTGGACCTAGTGTTACTAGAGAGGGCATAACCGATTTTGAGTGCTAGAAGTATTATCTCAAGTTATTCCAAGTCTTGTGGTGTTGTGTGAAGCATTTGAGGCACAACATTTGGGGTGCTAGGCTCACAAAGTCTTGAAGGAACCCAAGCAACAACAAGGTATGTATTTCTACTAGTTTTTATGTTTTATGTAATCCCCATGCCATGTTAGTTAGGAAATAACCTTGAAAAAGAAATTTGCATGTATATAGAGAAAACATAGATTCAAGGTTATTAGGGTTGCATGTACACTTAGGAAGTGTTAGAATGCTCAAAACCCATCAGTGGTATCAGAGCCAGGTTTGTTTTCTGTATACTTGATGCAAAACTGCTTAAAAATCGAAAATTCTGCATTCTGACGACTGGACTCGCCGAGTCCATGGGGAGGACTCGCCGAGTCCATGAAAAAATTCATTCTACTAGCCGAGTAGAATAGTGCACTCGGCGAGTAGGAGCGTGCTGGGCAGTTTTTCGAGTTTTGTTGCTGGAAATGGATTAAGATCATTATCCCAATCTGTTTTGGACTTGTAAAATCTGTTTTTCAAAATGATAATGATTATGTTAACCCATTTTACATGACTTTTATCAATTTTCAAGTATTGTATATGTTTATATGATTTCTTGAAATTGCTTGACATGAATTTGTGTTCTTATGAGTTTTTAGAAGATCATAGGAATTATGTGTAACCACCATGTGTGTTTAATTCATGATCTTAATGGCTATGATGGTGTCCATAACTTGTCCTCAAGTTATGGATAACCAAGAGTCACTTCTTTTTAATTATGATTAAAGAACTAAAGAGGTTTCATAAAATGAAGAGTCTTCATTTTTATGAACCATTAAAACTCATAAGTTACAAATTGAAGAGACTTGGAATAGTTTCAAATCTTGCCCTCAAGTTTTGGAATTTGAAAAGTCTTACACTTTAATACTTTAATTCCAAATTAAACCTTAGATTTTTAAAAGGTTTAAAAATCAACACTTATACTATTATTATAATTTTATTATATAGATATGTATAAGAATATGTCATTCTTACCGTTAGTAGGCCTCATTCACGAAGCCGGTCTATAAGGGGGGTATAAGGTTGTTGCCTATAAAATGGTGACTTAATGGGTGTCCACTCTCACCCACCGCTTCCTTTATCGGTGGAGGGTCGTTAGCCGAACGGGTAGGATACGACTTTAAATACTCGTTAAAGTATAATGAATTATAAAGTAACTATACATTATAAATTCCCAATCTTAGTTACTTTAGGAAAATGTGAAATTGGTGCTAGCCCATAAAATTACACTTTGTACCTTACCAAGTCGTTAGTGGAGCGTGTGTGGTTAACCGGCACACTAACATGGACTAGTAAGAGTGGCAAAGGGTAACTTGACCTTATTATAGATCGGTGGAGCGTGTGTGGTTAACCGGCACATCGATTAGGTAATATTGTTGAGGGTACCAAGTCAATTTGTATGGTTATTCACACCTTGTTTGTGATCCTCGGCATCCCAGTCACAAACTTGAGAGGGCACAATCGAGATTCAAACATGCCATTGAAAAGTTCAATGTATCTCAAAAGATCTAGGAGTTTAAAAACCAATAAAACCTAATAATAAAATATTTCGTTCTTATGGTGGAAATTGGTAAATCGTCATTTACCTACCTTCAAATATTTTATAGTATGGATTACGGCATCCCTCTTCCAACTATAAATAGTTTGTTGGATCCTAGCCTTAATATTTCATTTGGGTGAATTATTAAGGATTCCTAATCTAATGAAACTTGTCTTTCTTTCCTTTCAGATGTCTTCCAACAATGCTTCTGGCTCAAACCCAACAGGCTCCTTTTCCCTTATAAACTTGTGTGGTAAGGTCATCTTTGATGGATCCAATTTCAATGAGTGGATCAGAAACATCAGAATGATTACCCGCTATGAGGACAAAGAATATGTCCTCGATAGGGAGCTTAAGGTTGTGAGTGAAGCCACTGCTACTCCTGAAGAGTTTGCGAAGTTTGTTGCACATGAAAAGGATGCTACTAAAGTAGCATGCATCATGATGGCCACCATGACTCCTGAACTTCAAAAATCCTATGAAGATTTCTACCCCTATGAGATGCAACTGGATCTGATGGAAAGGTACCATCAGAGCGCGCGTCAGGAGAGGTATGAAATCATCTCCTCCATGATAACCGCAAGGATGAAGGATGGTGAACCCATCACCGGTCACTTGCAGAAGATGCAAAGGTTCGTTGGCCGGTTGCTGAAGCTAAATGTTGACTTTCCTGAGGAAATGGCGATTGACATCATTCTCCATTCCTTACCTCCAAGTTATGATCAGTTTCGTATGACTTATCATATGAACAAGGAGGAAGTCACACTTAGCAAACTTCAAGGACTCTTAAGGACAGCTGAAAATGGCCTTAAGGGAAAGCGGTTGCTACTTCTACTCCTTCAACAGCCCCTGTTCTGGCTATTGGGCAGGAAAGGTAAGAAGAGGAAAAACCCTTCGAAGGGTACCAAGGGTAAGACTCTTGATGGTTCCTCTTCAAGTGGGACAAAGAAAGGTCCCATTACTCCTTCTTCAAACCCAAAGGAAGCACAGTGCTTCTATTGCCAGGATAAGGGACACTTCAAGCGAAGCTGCCCTAAATATCTGCAAGATCTAAAGGATGGGAAGGTTAAACCCACCCATACAGGTATTTACACAATATTGTCTAACAACTCATCTAATGCTAATTCTTGGGTGCTTGATACAGGTTGTGGTATTCACATCTGTACTGATTTGCAGGCACTAAGAAGAAGTGAGCAAGTGGAGCACGGGAAGATAAACTTAGTCATGGGCAACAGGAAAGCATCACATGTTACCAATATAGGAGTTTATTCTTTATTGCTTAATAATGGGTTAATGTTAGATTTGAATAAGTGTTGTTACTCGCCCGAAATGGCGAGAAATATTATTTCTTTTCATGGCTTGTACAAACAAGGTTTTTCATTTTCATTTGATAATAAAAATGGTGCTATTAATGTTTATTACAATGACGTATTTTACTTTAAAGCATTACCTTGTGATGGTGTATATGAAGCTGTGAATGTTGTAGACAATCTAGGAAATAATGTGTTGTATATTGATTCTTCAGATAGCTTGGATAAAGCATCCTTGTGGCATTGTCGTCTTGGACATGTTAACAAGAAGCGCATAGGCCAACTCCAAAAGGCTGGAGTCTTGGAATCATTTGACCTCAAGTCAGATGATAGTTGCGAGTCTTGTTTACTTGGAAAAATGACAAAGTCACCTTCACAGGTACTTGTGATAGGGGTGAAGGTTTGTTGGACCTTGTACACACGGATGTGTGTGGGCCCTTCAGAGTTGCTACAAGGGATGCTAATCGCTATTATGTGACTTTTACTGATGATTACAGTAGATATGGATATATTTACTTAATCAAGCATAAGTCAGAAACCTTTGAAAAGTTCAAAGAGTTTAAGCAGGAAGTGGAGAATCAATTGGGCAGGAACATCAAGATGCTCCGATCTGATCGGGGAGGAGAGTATCTTAGCATTGAGTTCCTTGACTATCTTAAGGAATGTGGGATTGTCTCACAATTGACACCTCCCAGAACACCACAGTTGAATGGTGTAGCTGAGAGGCGCAATCGAACCTTGTGGATATGGTTCGTTCCATGATGAGTCGAGCTTCGTTACCAATCTCTTTCTGGGGGTATGCCTTAGAGACTGCCGCCCATATCCTTAATTAGTCCTACTAAAAAGGTTGCCAAAACACCTCACGAGATGTGGACTGGGAAAGTTCCCAATTTGGACCACATCAAGATTTCGGGGTTGTGAAGCTTTCGTGAGGCGTGAGACTCATGATAAGCTTGAACCTCGAAGTGAGAGGTGTATTTTCATCGGCTACCCACAAAGATCCTTTGGTTACCTCTTCTACAGACCCAGTGATAATGTGATTTTTGTAGCAAGAAGAGGAGTCTTTCGTGAGAGAGAATTCATAAGCCAAGGGGACAGTGGGAGGCAAATTGACCTTGAAGAGCTTCAAGAGTCAAGTGGTGAAGGAACCTCAAATGCTATCGACCAACCTGAGGAGGAAACTCCTGTTGATCCGATAGATGAGTCCTGTACCTCCAAGACGTTCCACTAGGGTGAGGAACACACCTGATTTTTATTATGGTTATCACATCACCACTGAAGGTGATACATTTATTAGTGATAGTACACTAATAGATTTGGATGAACCTAATAATTACAGGGAAGCCATGGCAGGCCCTGAGTCTGCTAAATGGAAGGAGGCTATGGACAGCGAGATTCAGTCCATGTATGACAATCAAGTTTGGAACTTGGTTGACA